ATATATATATATATATATATATATATATATATATATATATATATATATATATATATATATTATTATTATTATTATTTTTATTTATTTATTTACTTTTTTTTTTACTTTCTGTACTGATATAATTTGACTTCCAGCCCTTTTAGGGCAAACATCAATCACTTTGAACAAAATCAATGGCCTTGAAGCTAAAGCAAATTAAGTTTTTTTATTAATGAGTGTAATTTATTTGGGATATAAACATATGGATAGGTTTCAAACAATGCAAATTAACAACATTAACAACTATGCTAAAGAAGAGTCTATACAAACAGAAAAGAGTTTAAGACGGTCAGAGACACAGAGAGCTGGTGTGATGTTTTGTTCCCTTCTCCCTCCTTTGCAATGAACAGTATCTGTGTTGACATAATTTGTGGTGTGAAAGTGAGGGAAATGCAATTGCCCTGTCTGCACTGAGGAGAGCCATCTTTCTTATTTTTATACCCCTGTTCCCTTCTCATTTACAATGTCCACAAGTTATGGCTTTACTTTACTAAATCCTCCTACTGCAGTGCTTATAAAACCCCTTTTATGGGACACAACACAAAATAAATGCGGTAATAAAACAAAACTCAAATAATTTTTCTAATTGTTGTATTCCATCATATAAACACGTACATGAACTTTTATCTACTTAACATACTCATTTCATCCCAAAAAAGGGTTACACATTTATTTTGAGAAAGAGAAACACTTACCACAAATCTGCACACATTAAATGGCTCATTTATCAGAGTTATGTGACAGACAGGTCTAGTTTGAGAAGTGAGGGGGCGTGCAGTAAACTACTTTTCCCTTACTGAATCATGTGGAGTTATGCTCTATTAAATATGACAACAGAACAATGCACCTGACCCACAGACCAATGGCACTAAATTCTTTGGAGCACTGGAAAAAAAAAATGTTTTCTCCCTGTTGTCCAAATGAGCTGCACTGTCTATTGGATGTTTGCCACTTAGTGTTTGACTTATTATACCAATCAAAAATATATCTATAATATATCTATAATGTGATAAAAGTTTATTTACCCCCTTAGATTTTCAGTTTTTACATTTTAGTCAAATTTATATCTAAGAAAACAACAGCCTTAGTAAAAATAATCCTGTTTCAATTGATTCTTTTTTTTGAAAATTTAAAGGAAAATGTTGGGTTAAGAGTGGCAAAGGAATCCACTTTGTAATCCATTTATCACACACAAAAAAAAGGAAACGAAAGTACTCTGTAAGAGGGCAATCCTTTTTTCATGGCCCAACATTTTGTCAGTAAAGGGGTTTGAAGGATATTCTAAGAGAATAATAAATACCTTCTATTAAAATACCATTCCATTGAATGTGTGTGAGATTTAGTCAAAAAAAAAGAAAAAGAAAAGGAATTTGAATTGTAGGAAAAAAACATTAAAGCTCCTTTGTTTTAGTCATGTCAGATTATGTAGAAATGGTTTATCCGGACCCAACACCTTTAATTTTCAGGCAGGGCTACATTAGATGACAAGATTAGAGTTATATTTCTTAAATACTTAATGAAATGCTTTCTTATTGATAGCCGTATTTCATTTGTATCAGGCACTCACAACATTGGACCCATAATTTAAGCAAACAGCACAAGGATATATCAAGACAAGCATTAATTTAAAAAAACGTGCTCAATAGCAGGGGGAAGGTTAACTGAACCCTCTGGTTCTGAGTTCAGTCTGAGCCCAGAGGAAGGAGTAGAATCCAGACCGGTGGTTTCTCCACAGCTTGCATTAGGAGCTGCTCCCAGAGTGAAGAGCTGAGCTTGCTGATTAGTAGAAGCCAGCAGACGCCAAGGAGTAGAAGTATATGTGTTTGGGGGGGGGGGGTCCAAAGCCAGAGTCCTTGCAGAACCAGTTTTCCAGGCCAGAAGATCGGAGAGCTGAAAAGGTACCAGAGGAGAATCCAAGCCGAGGTTAGAAGACAGGTCCAAGGTCGGTAAGCAGGCAGAATCCAGGAATCAGTCCAAACCAGATCAGGCAAACAGGGTAGAACAGGGGCAAACCAACACATGGGAGTCCAACAGCAGAAGAGTTACCTTCAGACACAGCTCGAATAATCTGGCGCTGATGGCAGGAAAACAGGCAGCATAAATAGCCGCAGGCAACAGGTGGATCAGATGAAAGGTAATGAGCAACCGGGCAGAGTAGATGGGTGAATTGAATGAGCAATTAAGCCAGCCATCAGTGCCAAGATCTTGACAATTTAAACTTTGTGATGTAATTGTGATGTGTAAATTATCCCGCAATTTCTAGACTACTTTTCAAAACAGTGTATAGAGCCACACTTTTTTGTGATTATTCTTTCAGTGATTATTCATCCATTTTATTCTGTTTTACTATGCAGCAAAATTCCAATCAGCCCCAAACAGCTCCTATGGCTTGGCTGGACTCCAGCCAAGGAAGCTACCCACCTCTAAACACCACTTAGTCTGTAAAACTCTGCATCTATCCTATTTAAGAGTTGCAGACAGAGACATCAGATCAGGTCAGGTCAAAACACAAACCCTGGGCAAAAGGTATTTGATCAATATTTTAATTGTATCATTAGTCCTTTCCTATTACTCTTGATGAAAAGAGGGGCAGAGCTGTTAACTAATGCTTGACTGAGAGGAAGACTGATCTGTTGCAAGGGGAGACTTAACAGAGTTAATAGAAACCAAAAGGATGAAGAAGCAGACTTGCTTGTACTTTGGGGATGAGTAAAGCAACTGACAGATATTGGGTGGCCAGCAGGACTGACTTCTGGGGCTGAAATTGTTGGTTACTCCAGGAATTAATTTTTTTTAAACAAACCACTGGACTTAGTTCAGTGGATTGGACTTAGTCCAGTGGTTTGTTTTAAATTTTTTTTGGAAATGCTGGAGATAAATCTCCAACGGAAAATCAAACCTCAGATCCACGGGATAGAATGTGAGTTTTGCCATGCAGGGGAACAGTGGGGCAAATACTTCAACTGGCTGACAGAGCAAGATGCAGGAAAAAAATCTGCCACAATGAGCTTCCTCTAGTGCAATGATTCCTTAAAATGGGGTTGTGACCCCACTTCGGGTCCATGATCAACCAGTATGGCAGTATGGGGTCTTTAGATCCACTAAAGAAATGAAATTAAACAACAGAAATGTATTTTAACATGCTTAAATATATGAAAGCATCACCTAATAATTGACCAAATGAACTTATTTGGTTGCGGGTGATTTTTTTATAACATTATACTGTTTGATTTTCTTTGCAGAGGTATTGGTGTACTCCTCCAGTGGGTTGAATGAGTTGACTCTTGTGAGTCTTTGTGGTTCAGAAACTGAAAAGTTTAGGAACCTCTGCTGTAGTGGATGATGGCACTAAACAGTATTTAAAGATTAAAGGCAAGATGTACAAGTGTAAAAACTACCTAACTTTCCACTGTTCTGTGATCCAAGTCAACAAAATTGGTGATGACATCCTTTCTTTTCCTTTCAGTTTTTCAGTATTTTTTAAGTAGTCTTTTGTAGTCTATTTTACTTTACTACATAGTCTCCAGGTAATAACAAATGTTTGTGTCTGTGTATTCACTATCTATAATTCATAAATAGTCTTTTTAAAACACATTTGAAATTAAGTATTGATAATATAACAACAAGATAACAAAAAACAAAAGCC